CGAGACAGAGAATCACGACTGAGGTTTTCAATCTTAGGTTCAATACTACCAGTTTACGGAAGCACTTGCTCAATTTAGTGCTTTGTGATTATTAAACATATCTTATCTCAAGATTTAAGCCTTCAGGTAATTGCTACTTCACCAGTTTTTATTACAGATTCACAGATGGTTTTACTTTTGAGTCATAAGCCTAGTATGGTGAATATCTCAGAATTTTTCAGGTAATGGGGCTTTTGCCTTGTAGTTTTTTCTTAGGTAGGTAGATGGTTGTGAGAACAGGTATACCTGATTCCTCTCTACTGTGTTTAATTCAGGGCTTCAAACCAATTCAAACTGGTTCAGTCCTGGCTGACAAAGAGAAACCTGAATGGACCCGAATCTTTAAAATTTGGGTGAAGTGGAATGATAACTGGAACGGGAAAAATAATGGGTCAAAGCCCTGGAATGGGAGACTTGGAAGAGGCGTAGTGAGCCCATTCAGGAGCCTGATGCCAGAGATTAGATTATTGCCAGGACTGTGGAATGCAACACACATTAAAAGCGGCGTGGTCAGCCACCATCATGGAGTGGGGCAGCACTGTTTCCCACTGCCAGGCAAGAGATTTGGTTGCTGTGCAACACACACGCTGCCCTTGTTTTCTAAGAGGGAGATTAAGTTTCTAATAGGGCTCTGACTGGTAATTTTTCCCGTTCCAGTTATCATTCCAGTTTACCCACATTTTAAAGATTCGGGTCCATTCAAAGTTCTCTTTGTCAGCCGTAACTGAACCAGTTCGAAGCCCTGGTTTAATTGTCATCCTGCATTTCCCACTACATCTGGTCCTTTCTGTCGGTGGTTGAGAAAAAGCTTTTTAGTGTGGAGGAAACCTGAAGGTGCATGTAGACTCGGGAGGGACCCAGTGGAGATAGCAATGAAAAATAGAGGAGTAGAATGAATGGAGAAGTATATTGGGAGAGCGAATGGGAATGGCATCAAAAGCCTTGGCCTTGGGCAAGAAGGGTCTTCCCCCTTGGTTAGGAGGTGATCACAGGGTAAAGCTGTAGGTTGTTTTGCTTTTGGATTTTTTTTTTTTCAGTGAGTTGTGTGAAGGAAATTGAGAAAGTTGTTTTCTCGGCATTGAGAACTAGGCCATCTGGCGGAGAGCTACGCAGGACTAGGGGAAGGAAAGAGGTAGACAACTTGAGGAAACTGTTCCGGGTTTGGAGTAGTCTTAGTGGGGGCCAGTTTGTGATGAACAAAAGGATTGCCCAGGATTGAAGGCCCACTTTAGATTGAAAATAATAAACTTAGGACCTTTATTTTAAAAATAGGCATCTAAGGAATCTATACTAAGGGCAACTTGTGGCTTATATTTGTGTAACGCAAGTGTATTAAAAATTTTTTTCACTGTTTTCATTCTGGCCTTTATTCCCACTTAATAGAAACCACCGGCATGTTAGTACGTTAAGAAACGCACAGTTTGCAAGGTAGTATTTCAGCAGGTGCCCAGGGGAAAAAATAGTGGGCCTCATTATGCATAAGGTCTTTTGGGTGCTATGGCCAACTTTACTTTCACCTGCCCTAATTATATCAATCAATACAATTTTTTCTGCGACTCAAAAAGATGTACCAATGATATTGGGCCCAGAGTTACTGGAGTTATATTGAATCCACCATGATATTTTCCTTGTATATAAGAGAAATGCCGACTTCGTTAATTATGGGTGTATCTATCATTTAGCTAAAAATCAGTCTTAAATGTTAAAAAGTCATTAATGCATTTGTTTATAGCCGAGCTCTTTCGGGCCCTAGCAGTTTAAATTGGGAAAGTAGTAAAACATGCTAATAGCCATATAAAATGGCTAGAATACATTTATTTCTGTGCATTTTAGGGTTTCTTTTTTTTTTTTTTTCTCTTGTCTTGAAGGATATTTTTCCATTGAAGCAGGTTTTCTCCCTGTGAAGAGTAGTCTTCACAACTGATGGATGATGATTTCTTGCTGAAGTACAGTAATGTGGATCATTGATTGTAAAGAATAGTTTGGTTTCTCATCAGCCCTTTCCTAAAGTAAGGTCTGTCAAATAATTGGTCAAGATATCTGGGGCTGTCACATTTGAGGATCGTTCATAGAGAATTGTTCCTTTTCATTCATAAAAAGGAAAATTCCTTATGAACAAGAAGGAACAATTCTGTATGAACGTTCCCATTCATAAAAAGTCTTTGGGAGGAATTGCTGCATACTGCCCCTCAGCCCTCTTTAGAAAGGACCTACCTTCACTTTTCTCTTTTAATGGGAATAAGCTGTTCATGGCTGGTTTTACATGGTGTGATGAAATCAAAATGATTAAAAACAACCTAAAGACTCAGAGAATTGCTGTTGTTTAGGTGAAAGGTTATTTGACAGACTTAAATTTCTTTTGTTCTCTGTCCAGAAAACAGAATATCATTGCAAGAGTTTCATTGATTGTAAGAAAGTACTTTGGGGGAGTGGTAAATACCACTTTATTACTCAAACTGGCAGTTGGGGTAGGTTGGGAATGGGATAGGTTTTTGGGTGCTATGGCCGACCACCCTCTGACTTGGCTTGGGCAGTGAGCCTTCTTGGTGACCACTGTCTGAATTTAATGATTCTGGGCATCAGCCATTCTGCCTGTGACCACGCTCAACAGTCAACATTTCGTTGAGTACTAGAGTATATGCTGGAGTGCTGACGTGCATCAAAAAGTGGAAGGACATGAATTCAGTTGGTAAATACGGTCTCATCAAAGTTTGTCATTTATATTTTAGCATTACCTGAAAAGTCTAATTATGTTAAATCCCAAGGGATAGTCCCAATTATTTCATTAAGCTGGTATTTTCACAGGGAATTTTGTTCTGATCATGATCCATCATTGGGACTTATAATTTATTTTTTTCACAGAGAATATTGAAATAGGTTCAGAGATTCACTGGCAAAAAGGTCTTATTCATTAAATACTGTAAATCAGTAATGCCACCGTTACAGAAATAGAATTCCTTTTTTTTAAATCATGCTTTAGGTGAGAGTTTATACAGCAAATTATTTTCCCATACAATAATTTGTACATAAAGTGTTTCATGTTTATCTTATGTGCTTGTCTGTTGTTTGGCTGAGAGGTGGTCTCTGGGAATGGCTTCATTTCCAGGTCAGAAGGGTATCTTAGGGCCACAGTCTCGAGGTTCCTCCAGTCTCTTGTCAGACCAGCAAGGCTGGTCTTTTTTGTGAATTTGATTTTTTTGTTTGTAATTTTCTCCCCCTCTGTCCAGGACCCTCTGTTGTGATTCTAGTCAGAGCAGTTGGTAGTGGTAGCCAGGCACAATCTATTCTTCTGGTCTCGGGGTCGTGTAGGCTTTGGTTTGTGTGGTCCATTAGTCCTCTGGACTAATTGCTCCCTTGAGTCTTTGCTTTTCTTCACTTTCCTTTGCTCTAGACCAGAAGAGACCAATAGTTGTAGCTTAGATGACTGCTCACAAGCTACTCACCAAAGTAGGATGCAGAATATTGACTTTATGTACTGTGTTGTACCAATTGATGTAGATGTCCCCCGAGTCTATTGTCCTTTGTCTTCTAGCCTAGGAACTTCATCCCAAGAGGTGTTTGGTTATGTCTAAGAGGTTTCCCTGACTTTACCTCTTGTGTGCTCTATATGAGCCACACCTACAATCATGTATATAGAATATCCACCACCAAACCTATATTTGCCAGTGGGAGAAATAGAATTCCTTTTTGAAAGTGAGAGCTTTTATAAGAGAATGAAATGTTCGAGGGTTTAATTTATTATTGGTATTTTAACCTACTGCTTCATTCCGCTATTATTCTGTTCTGAGTGGGGGGAAAAAAAGGCAAGTAACTCTTTAAGATGTTTAGGAATTAACTGAGGGTTCAAATGTAACTAGCTTTTCTCCTCAGATGCTTTTGTATTTAATGGTTGTGTAAGTTTAGGGCTCTGTTAAATATTTTATTGGAACAGCTTACATGACTTTGTGGCCTAACATTTCAAAGTTCCAAGTTGAATAAATATTAAAATGAGAATACTTTTGCAATAGTCAACACTCACTGATGCCTTAAATAAGTCATTTTTAACTTTATGGAGCCACCAACCTTTTGGTGGGGGAGGAGGTTATAACCCCTTTGAGAGTCTGAAGGGCCATGGATCCTCTCCCCAGGAAAAAAAAACCATAATTTTGCCTCTAATTTCAGGGGGTAAATGGAGTCCCTAGAAATCTATTTATGGACACTCTAGGGGTCAGTTAAAACCTTACCTCAAGTTGCTTTTTTTTTTTTTTTTAACTTGATGTGAGAAACATCTTTTTAGATTAAATTGTAAGTACAGACATTTAACAAGTCTATTTGGAGAGTTCTTTAAAATCTCTCTTAGGACTGATTTTTTTTTTTAATATCCTTAGTCTCAAAGTCATATTCTATGGGCTTTTGTTTGTAGCTGAGTGAACAGTTAAAATCCTCCACTGCTGCTTAAAATACCAGGTAGATGACTACTTTCCCACTTTTTTGGGGAAAGATTTTCCTCTGTGATCTGTAAAAGAGTTTATGGTCATCTTAGGGTGTGATGATTTTCATTAAGAGATTAAATTCCTTTAGTTCATGTAATAAAATCCTGATGAACATAAACACTGGCAAAATGGAGTATTCTATTAACTCAGTATTGACCAGATAACTTATACTGAAAATCTTTTCAAAATATTATTAGTAAATACAGTACTTTAGGATTTTGTAGACTTAGGTCATCGTTTTGAATAATGATTATCATTATATACGGTAATGGAGAAGTTATAAAAGATGAATATGAACTCCTGGGCATTATTTGGAAATTAAACATTCAGCCATAAAACAAAAACCCTAACTGTAAGTTTTAATTAAGTTTTCTTCACTGTGCACTAAATGTTCTAGAAATCTTGTTGTGTCTGTTTCAATTTGTATACTATATGTAAGAATACATGCATTTCTTTTCTTTTTTTTTTTTACATGCATTTCTTTTGTAGCCACGTCATGAATATTTTAATGTCCCTGTGTACTAAATGACTACTCATCGAGTATGCAGAATTTCACAGAGGAAATAGAGAGCTGATATACTTATGAAAGAAAATATCCTCAGCTTGGTGATGCTGGTTATCTTGTTGTAATAGTTGTAGAATATTTTAGAACCAATACCTTTACAATTGTATTTTTTCCCTGTTCCTATCCCTAGCCCTTTTCCGTTTTATTTTCATTCTACATGTGATCTTGGTTTGGCTTATGCCTGCTCCAACTGGTTTAATTTCTTGGAAAAAATAAGACCTATGAATGTTTTGAGTAATATTTCATCGTAAATATATACATGTTATCGTTAATGAATCATCTGCGACTAATCTCGTAAGAGGAAACCTTGCAATCTTTAAAATGTTTACCAAAGAAAATATAGCCGGAATGCTAGGTCAAAACAAACGGCGCCATAATAAGTAGTGTGGTTTGGTCTTCAAATGATGATATATTTAAAAAAGAAAACTGTATTTACTGTCACGTCACACCTGTATGAGCTCATATGTCCTAATATATCACAGAAAAGTGTATGTGGAAATAATACTTGAAGGTAAAATTAATCTGTACCAGTACATAATATTTAAAATATTTCATGTTTTGGGAATTTTGTAATGTCTCATGTATTGAATCACATTTGTGCTATATACTATCAATCCTTTTTAGAACTATCAGAAAGTTATGTTGGAAGAGTATCGCCCACAATATCTGTAGCTCAATATTAAGTAACCCTTTAAAGTATTAATTCTGATTTTTTTATATAGTGAATATTTTAATATTCAGTTTAAATACCTAAATACTTATATTTTGCTAGTTACCATTTTATAATATAAATCTTCATTTAAATCCTTAATGCTTTGTTAATGATGATTTTATACTTTAGGATATTAAAATCTTTACTATTGATCATTATTGTGTATACTTTTAATAGAACCTGCAATAGATTTTATTATCAAAGGAAAAGTATCAAATAATTCATTGTTTTTTCTCTAGAAAGGCTGAGTTTTAAGATACTCAGGCTAACTTACAACTGCACGAAGGCCTATGAAAATGCGTTTTGACCAAACTTAGCATTAGGCAGTACAGTTATTTTCCATCCTTACCATTCTCGCTGTCACGCGCTACATTTGAAGCCCCTGTATGGGGCTATCCGTGAGAAATTTAGCATTATACATTTGAAGCCTTGGGAAGCATTGGTCTTTCTTTTCCATTTTTCTCCTCCATCCCCCCTGCCTGGCAATATACTATTCATATGGTTTTAATGCTACATAAATATTCATTGTCTCATGCCTGTTTGCTTTGGATGCTGTGTGCCGAGCTGTAACATGTTGCTGCTTTTGTTATCTGTATACTGCTGCTTGCTTTAAATTAGTCGACTCTGAAAAAGCTTCCTGGCATGTTTAAAATAAAAGTATTGCATGTACTTTGTCTCATGTGAATGACTTTTTTCTTCTTCATCCCGTTTGATAAAATAACGTATTTTACACTTTAGTTTTTCCAGGTAATTTTGAGCTATAATTTATAGTGTGAACATGTGAAAATTATATTAATTATAAACACAATTTGTAAAAAAAAAAACTCCAATGCACTATTTGTTCAAGTCTCAAAGGAGTAAAATGTGTAAATGATTCTTTGAAACATAGGCTGTTTATTTTAAATAATGCGTATTCGATAAACAACGTGATTCTCTTCAGCAAATGGTGTAGAAAATTGCAGGCAGTGATCGCCTAGGGAAAATCTGACCAGCTCCAGGAAATAGTTGGGGACATGTTTAGCTGGATAAGCTAAGACTGGTAACTGGATAGAATGCAGTGTAAGTGTCCTTTAATGGATACCTTCAAGGTTGTCTGAAGTTTTTAAGAAATATTTAACATAAAATGGAAATCATTGTTTTAAAATCGTTTTCCTTTATGTGACTCAAATGCCATTCTCTCTGTATTCAGTATTTTAATGGCTAATCGTTAGAAATGAAAGAGACTGGCTTAAGTCACTTTTTGGAAACTTAGATAAATTCCATTAGACTTTCTTTGGAAACCTTCTCTTGAAGACTTTGAGACACTAATATAGAGACAGACATGAGGAACCCTTGTGTGCCTGTCACGCAGCCTCACCAACCATAAGCCAAATCCTATGCTTGTTTCATCAGCCTCACTGTTTAGAGCCAGCCCTAGACATCATATCATTGCATCTCGAAATACTTAATGTATCCGTAACAGAGAAGCGCCACGCTCAGCAAAATTAACAGTAATTCCTAATAGCTTGTCCAGGGTTCATTTTGTCCTGTCTTTTTATAATTGGTTAGAACTAAGTTCCCCAAGGCTCCCGTTGCATCTGGTCCATGTGTCTCTTTAAGTCTTTTTTTTTTTTATAGATTAATTTGTTTATTTTTATTATTTATCTTAAGGCTCTTTTAATCTATCACAGTTCCTTGGCTTTTCCGTTTTTTAAAACTGTCGTTTGTGTTACCGCTTTACCTTGTATATTTGGCTGATGATATTCTCGTGACGATGTTTAAGTTGTTGTTTTGTCCCCCGTATATCGTTAGATCTGAGCCTGGTTTGATTCAGGTTCAATTTTTTGGCAAGAACACTTGGTAGATTTAACTGCTTCTTATAAAAAGTATACATACCTTTTTTCACTAAAGCTGGTTTACACCCATTTTTCAGTACACAAACGTACTAAAATGTTATATGACCTTTATACATAGAGTTGGTTTATAGTAGTTTCATTTAGATTTCATTTATATAACTAGAACAGCTGTCTCTCATAATTTCAACCCATGAAGGTAAGTACTGTTATCCTTGTTTTCCCAGATAAGGAAACAGCCTATGGAGTTTAAGTTATTTACTTAAGATTATACCATGTATAGTGTCTTACATACAATTAAATCTAATGTTCTAAGGATTTATGGTTTAATATAATTTTTCTTTTCCTTGCTTTGTGCTGCACCACGATTAGGATGCAAAAGTAAGTTTATTATTGGACACTAAAATAATATTGTTTTTCTCTATTAAAATTTAACATGCCTTTTAATTACAAAATTGTTGACACTAGTAGCTGAAATACGACCTACTTGGTACTTTTGTAACATGCAAAATCAGCCAGCTAAATATCCCTGCTTTGTCTTCCTTTGAAATTTAAAAACAAACGTTGGTTGTTCCATAGGGCATTCTTTCTGTATGTTGCCCCCACCAATGCTGTCGGCAGGTCTGGGAAGGTGACCATTTCTGAAACCTTGCTGCAGTAGACGGTTCATTTAACTCAAACTGAGTGGTAAAGGCATTTCTATAAACGCATGTAACAAAGACCATGGGGAAAAATTACGTGAAGAATTTTTCTCCCTAGCTTTCTATTTGGGGGCAAGTAGTTTGAATTTTAACACAGGTATCTTATCTGTCTTATATACAAGTCAGTAACAGTGATTTCATAAATTTCCAATGGGTTTGCATTGGGCTTGATTTTTGTGTTACAGCAAGTGTACTTGGCACGTAAGTATTTAGTGAATGCTGAAAAGATCTTTATGTGGTCTCAGGTGTTTTGGATCCCAAGCCCCAACCACTAATATCACTAATAAAGAAGAGCCCTGGTGGCGCAGTGGTTAAAGTGCTCGACTGCGACCCCGAAAGGTCGGCAGTTCAAACCCACCAGCTGCTCCCCGGGAGAAAGAGCTGGCAGTCTGCTTCCATAAAGATTTACTGCCTTGGAAACCCTATGGGACAGTTCTATTCTGTCCTGTTTGCTATGAGTCAGAATCGACTTGGCAGCAATGGGTTTGGTTTGGGTTTGGTACCACTAATATGATGATGCTCTTATACCCCTGAATTAAGGAAAAAAACAATTTTGTCTTTGCTTTTGTTTTCTAAAATGAGCACATCCTTCCATGTGCGTTGTTCGCATTCTCAAAGGCTCCCTGGATCTGCTTACCAGAGTCTCACATTTTCCTTCCACAGGAAGCTGAAACCCCACGTAGTGTTCTTGAAGAAATTGGATTGACATAACTCTCCTTCCTTGTTGATGACTTCTTGTGGCATTTCACACACTGTAGATGTTCACTGCCTTTCATGTCCATGTTAGCTAACGGTGTAAGATGATGTTTCATCAGTATTACTGTTTTGCTAAACTGCTTCATTCAGGCCTACACAAAATTTTTTTTTTTTTTTTTAAGGGCACTTTGGTTAATCAAATGATAAAGGGACTTAATATGGATTACAATGACACAGAAAAGAAAGATAGCTTTTCTGCGTATTTTAGTTTGTCAGTTTCTCTTAATTCGATTATGTGTATATATGAAAATGACACATCCATATACATGCAAAATCTGACACTATGCATTTGTTATATTACTGTATCTGACAAAGGGAACCAGTAAATTAAAATGTGAAACCTGGTTTTAAGAAACCAAAGACTAGTGCAGCATTTCAGTATAGTGAGAATAAAGGGAATCGACACGTCACGTATCGAATGAAAATTTAACTCCTATTTTGAAACGTTTAAAAAAATTTATGCTAAAGATCCCATTGGAAGCTACATACCTTAAAACACAAAGGGAATACAGATAATTTTAAATGGCTGAATAGGAATGATGGTGTTTTACACTAAAAATTCTTAGACATTCCGACCCCAGACGGAGAACATAGATGGAGTGTTTGAAAACAGAGAGCACTTATGTTTTTTAAAGGCAAGGTACATTTGACTGCTGAGATGAATTCTTTGTGGTCGTAATCATTTAGTCAATTAGATTGTTCTGAGGCCCCAAAATAAAGTGGAAATGTTGATTCATCAGGAAATCTTCGTAACAGTATCTTAACAGAAAACTTGTTGCTCTCTTTACAAAGTATCATGTAAGCTATTGTTTAAAGAAGCACGGCTATTTCTGGTGTGCTTGTTGAAGCCAGATTGTTTTTTGCTTACCTTCACTTACAAGTGCTGCAAACTTATGGTATCTTCTTTTCCTTCTGTGGCACTGCCTAGTTATTGGAAGTGTTATAAAAATAGACATCTTTCATAAAAGAGTGAGAGATGAATGAGGTCGAATGGCATTAGTGGGCCCTGTATTTTTTTAAAGCTGTCTAATTGTTTCAGTGTCAACGTTTATATATACATACACAAACATTTAAACGTCTTCACAGTTTACACTTTCACTTGTATATGCTGGGCTGGATTAAGCTTGTAATTGTGACCAGTATTCAGGCCACGTGATCACTGTCATATCACATCACCAGTTAGTTGTAATAAATGTTCAGTGTACACCACTGTAGTGTGTTTTCTTCATCTCTTTACAAAAGTCTGTCAACTTGAGAGCTGCTGAAGGAAGTTTTTTTTTTTCAGTAAAATCTCAAAAATTCACCTGCGTTTCAATGTGGTGGTGGTTACAATAAGCACACACAAGATAAATGGCAGAAGATTTGAGGAGTCTTCATGTTCTTCAAGTTCATTAAAAAATAATGTGGATTCCATGCTACCAAGAGCTTATCTACATATTTATTTTCAATCAATAAATGCCGCTTTTAAAACCTTGATGCAGTTGATTTTCTTTTTTTGCTCTTTCTGAATGAGAAAACTTGCTCGTCTCCTCCCGTCCCCATGAACTGGCGGGCTAGCATTCCCAGCGCAATGGACTGGTTACTTGCAGAGACGACTGTACTGCCTAATACACAACCCAAAAGTCCAAACTTAGGTTGTCCTGACAGTGACTTCCTATTACAGATGATAGGAAATGTGGCCTACTAAAACTGTTACTTCAGCAAGGAAAGCTTCAAATTAAGTTGCTAGTCTATTAAAAACAGGCAGCGGTAGACTTAGAGCCTCTGACATGTAGCTGCCTGCTCACCAAAGTCAGGCCTGTGGGCCACGGAGGGCAATCTAGAGTTGGAATTTTTGAATCATAAACAGTAATTACAGAAACGATTTTTGTACCAGGATTGCTTTAACAAGGCATATTCTCTAGCAATGACCCTAATTTCCCAAAAATGACAAAAATAAGCTTTATATAAAGGACTGCCCTTTGCCGTCTATTCCGACTCCTAGCGACCCTATAGGACAGAGTAGAACTGCCCCATAGGGTTTCCAAGGCTGTAATCTTTAAGGAAGCAGACTGCCACATCTTTCTCTCGCAGAGAGGCTGGTGGGTTTGAACCCCGAACATCTGTCAGCAGCCAAGTGTCTTAACCACTGTGGCACCATGGCTCCTGTAAAGGAATAGACTGTCAAAAAGATGAACACCCTGATAGAAAAACCCCAGCTGAAAGGGAACCGAGGACCAGTAGGAGGGAGGAAAAAAAGAGTTACATACCCTTTAGTATTTAAGACTGAGCACATGAATTTTAAAACTGTTCGGCTGTTGCATGGAGAAAAATCCCATAGATTTTTAATAAAGGGCAAAAAGATTCTTAACCAATGGCCATTAATTACAGAGAAAGTCTTTGGCTTAGACAATAAGTAAGTGAACACTTACACAGACGTACTTGATGTGGGAGCAGCAAAATTTACTCTTGGTGCTAGATTTTTCGTACTTTTCTGGAGGATGATTTGGAAAAACTTGAATATTCACATCCCTTGATGTAATTTATCCTAAGGAAATTACCAGAAATGTGCGGAAGTATTTAAGGAAATCCATCACAGGATTTTTAACTTTTTATTTCTTTTCAGCAAAGTCTCCTTTAAGAGTACAAAATTATAAATAATTTAAAAATCCAACAATAGGGATATGGTTAAATAGATAAACTATGCAGTGAGTAAAAATCATGTAAGAATAGGGACTGCCTGAAATAGGACGATGTTTTAGGTTAAAAAATGTAGCATATTCAACTGCAACCACATATTTTAACATGGTAAAAAAAATACGGACACACACATAAGACTAAAGCAATGCTCCAAAGTTAATTAGTTAAGATTACAAATAATTTTTACGTTGCTATTTATACATTTTGTTTCCTAAGTTTTCTATATTAAACATACAATTTTTGATTATCAGAGAAAAAAACTTTTAAAATAGAATTCCAGTTTACATACGGTTCTGCCAGACTTGCTAACCCATCTGAGCTCATCCCCTTCTAGCCAACGTATTTAGCAGCCATAAGAAGTAAGAGATACATTCATTCAGAAACCAAACCGATTTATTTGGATCTGGGACTATGGGTATTTCTGTCTCTACTACTGGACCTCCTCCCACCCCAGCTCCTGGACCTGGATGAACTCTGGCTCCGGCTCCTGTGGCTCTGGGTCCGATTTCTCCGGCTCCTGAGGCTCCGGCTTCGACTTCTCCGGCTGCGGCTCCGACAGTGGTCCCTTTTTCTTCCTCTGCTTCGGGAGCTGTGCCTTTCCCGACTTTTAGACACATGCTTGTGAGATTTCTTCCCCCTGTGACTACTACTCCTTTTCCTCTCAGATTTCCCGTTTCTTTTGTAGGAATGGTCTGAACTGGGACTCCGTCTTCTCCTTGGCCTGCCATAGTAGTCGTCACGGTGGCTCATCCTCTCTCTCCTCTCTGAGTTCTTCCCAAAGGATGAACTAGTCCGATCTGGGGACAGGTACATGTCTCTGTCAGCTTCCCAAAATTCATTGTTGGGATTTCTGAATACGTGAAGAAAGTTGCAGTGTTTTCCTCTTGGACACTGCTGGGTTTCAAATAAACCTGAAATGGAATAGTTAGGAAATAGCAGTTACTACTATGTATTCTGAAGATGGTACTTTATCCATTTTATAAAGAACATTTCTGGTACTTTCTACTGGGCATTATTTAAAAGGGGCTTATATATAAATTAAATTTCATGGTTTTAGTTCCCAGAACTAAAAATATTCAAATCCTCTAACAAATGGCACTCTGATGAAAGACAACAAATCTGATGTTTAACTGACCAGAACATCCCATTCCCCAAGTGGATGACTGTTCAGAGTACAGCTGAACAAATGGTGACCACATTAGCCCTCTTAGGGTTTCACCCTTCCACTGATTCACAACTGGGCTTCCTAATTACCACTGAAGAGCCAGTCTTTAGAGTCCCTGCAGACGCGTGCTTTGCAGGCATGGTGGTGGGACAGAACCACTGGTCAACAAACAGCTCCTACTCTAGGAGGAGGATGCTGTATTCTCCTTACACTTTAAAAAGAAGATTATCAACAGTGGCCTAATGCTTTAAATTTGTCAAGTACTTTTAGTATGGAAGATGCTTGTCAAAGGTGAAATCTTTTTGAAAAACTTTGCGATCTCTTCGGGGTTTTCAAGCTTTTTTTTTAAAAGAAGTAAATTCCCTAGATTCGTAAAACAGCAATGAATTCTTAGATATGACACCAAAAGCACGAGCAACAAAATAAAGTGGACTTCATCAATATTAAAAACTTGTGCTTCAAAGGACACTGTCATGAAAATGAAAAGCAACCCACAGAATGGGAGAAAATATTTGTAAATCATACTGTGATAAGAGACTTGTATCTAGAATATATAAAGAACTCTTATACCTCAATAAGACAAATAGCCCGATTTAAAAAATGGACAAAGGATCTGAATAGACATTTCTCCAAAGAAGATTGCAAATGCCAACAGACACATGAAAAGATGCTCAGCATCACTGGACATTAGGGAAATGCAAATCAAAACCACAATGAGATACCACTTCACACCCACTAGGATGGCTAAAATAAAAAGACATCGTAACAAGTACTATGAGGATGTGGAGAAACTGGTACCCTTATACATTGCTGGTGGAGTTACAAGATGGTTCAGCTGCTTTGGAAAGAAGTTTGGCAGTTTTTCAAAAAGTTAGAGTGACCATAAGATTCAGCAATTCCACTCCTAGACATATACCCAAGAATTGAAAACATATGTTCATACAAAAACGTGTACATGGATGTTCACAGCAACATTATTCATAATAGCCAAACAGTGGAAACAACTTATGTCCTTCGACTGATGGATAAATAAAGCGTGTTATACGTGGGTCCCTGGGTGGTGCAAACAGTTTGTGCTCGACTACTAACCTAAAGGTTGGTGGTTGGAACCCACCCAGTGGAGCCACGGAAGAAAGGCCTGGTGATCTGCTTCCATAAAGATTACAGCCAAGAAAACTCTATGGAGAAGTTCTACTCTGTAACACATGGGGTCGCCATGAGTTGGAATCGACTTGATGGCAGCTCGTTTGGTTTTTTTGGTATATCCATGCAACGGAATATTATCCCGCCATAAAAGGGAATGGAAACGTGGACGAACCTTGAGAACATGCTGAGTAAAAGAAATCAGAGACAAAAGGTCCCATACTGTATGATTACATGTATATGAAATGTCCAGAATTAGGCAAATCCATAGAGTCAGTAGATTAGGGTTGGCAGGGGATGGGAGGATGGAAATGTTCTAAAATTAGGCAGCAGTGACGGTTGTGCAACTCTAAAAACCACTGAATTGTGTACTTTAAAAAGGTGAATTTTGTGGTAAGCGAATTATAGCTCAACAAAGCTGTTATTATTATTTTTTAAAGAAAAATAGCCTTCTGCTTTGTAGGCATCAGAGTCACTCAGAAGCTGCTCACTGAAATCACACGGGATCCCCAGAACTGACAAAAGTAACTGCCTTTAGAGAGAAAACAATTCCATGTCTCATCCTCCAAGCCTTTAAGTGTAAGTTGAAATGGTTCTTCTGGTTTTCCTAAGCAGGAGATTCTAAACACTTGTTTTTTCTTCAATAAATGGTTTGAAAATGGTAGCATCCATTAAAACAAGGCTGCCAAATCCTTACTGTGATTCAGACTTTACAGATTATATATTTTTAATAAGAGGTTGTAAGCAGGCGAGTGTAAATCAAAGAAGAAGTAAAGGGTCCAATAAGCACTCCCCTTGGGTGTTTACAGCTTCATCCCTTTTCACTGGGTGCACTTAATAGTTTGGCTAAGCCTTTATGATAGGAACCAAAACACAGCAAGGCCCTCAAAAGGGCTGGCTCCCCCCAGCAGAGGCCTGCTCCTCCTGTCCTGGTTCTGGTTCGGCTGTGCCGTCCGACTGGTTGTCTGACTGAATGCACCACACTGGAGCCTACACCTCCGCTCCATCTCTGATGCACAAATGTACACATCCCACGTAAGGCGAGGATGTCATCAGTGATGTTCTGGGTGGCAACGATGACAGAAGAGTCATTAGGGATAAAGACAGGAAGAACAACCCAGCTCAAGCGATGGGAGCCAGTGAACGGAAACTGCGAAGGAAAGTGTGGCTTCCTGGGGACAGAGGTTCTCAGTCTTCCGGAAGGGGGTACCTGGAGTCCAGGACTGAGAAGAAGACCAGAATTCTAGCCCTGCCTCTTTCAGCGATAAAGTGATCCACAAGGTCTGTTACAGATCTAAAGGGTGATGTCCTTTATGTAATAAGCTCTGCTCATCTACCGCCTGAAGCAAAAGGTATGCCCAGTGATTTTTTTTTATTGAAACCCTTTAAAAGATTGTTTTTCCCCAAGAGTGTCCCTTTATAGAACAGTGAAACAATTGGGAGTAAAACTAGCACGATGTATTTTACCACAAATTGCCATTTGCCACCGGGTCACCGGGCAGAATTCACACTGTAGCTGTCGTCCTGCATACCACCGTCCATTGAACAGAGAAAGGGCTGCCTGGCATTCTTCTTCCCTTCAAGCCAAAAAAGGAAAGGATGCACTTCACAGGAGCGTTCCAAGATGTGTTAGCCCTATTACTAATTAACCTTTATTAATTTATTTAGGACCATCGAGCTCACTGTTTTCATACTACCTAGGGAGTCCTCATTAGAGTATTCAAGCTCCTGAAGTTCAAAATTTACTCCGGAACCCTTTTTACTAACCCTTCGAGAGGTTTTGATGCATGGAAACTAGCTCCTTAATCCAAAGATTTGACCATTAAAAATGCAGACGTGTTACTCCACTGTTAGTTCCTGTTCTTCCTCCGCTAGGACTGCTGTTCTTATTATCATGGTTAATTTAACCCATTAGCCATGGAGCGGCCTCAGCAATCAGCGAGACAAGCAGAAAGGATACAGTAAGCTGGTCAAATGCACACTAAGATGATTCGGGCCTTTAATTTCTGGCTCTTTCGATTTATGCTATTATATTCTCTATTCTTGGTATTGCTTTTCAACTCTTTTAATTATCAAACTTATATAAGTTATATATTGTAAAAGATTCAAAACCATATACGTACACATGTATTATTTTCAAATCCCCTCCATACTTCTCTATCATCTCTTAATACTTACATTTAAAAAAAAATCATGCATCATGCATATGAAAGCTACATACTCAGTGGAAAAATCCCCAAAATGAATATAAACACAACACCACACTGTGACAAAGCATGAAGACCTGTGTGTTCAGAATACTTACGACTGATATTGAACATACACGTTGCCCCTAAGGTGAGGTTCAAAGTTGCAGCTGACCTAAGGAGCAATGAAATATTCTATCATAAAAACTAAGGCAAAGAAATCATCCAGTCATCAAATGTAGTCTGTCCAGGCTAACATTACCCAAAAATAATGATCAATTAAAGATTCCAAAATGAAGCCACTCTCCAGTCTATTAAAGGCACATGGTGGCCTTGCGGGCCCCTAGGATGTGGTCCTTGTTGATCTAGATCCATTTTTCCCCCAAAAAATGAAATGTTTCACACATGCATAAAAACAGAGAATGTAAATCAGCCCATATACACATCACCCAGATTGAACACGAATGTTCTCCATTTTTGTCTGAGAATTTTTAAATCAGTCAAGTGTTAAAGATACATTTGACGCCCTTCCATTTATTATTTTCCCTTCTCCATCACAGTGGTGAGAACTGTCCTGAGGCTGGGTATACCCTTCACGCTCCAAGCACAGATGTACATACGGGCATATGTACGTATATGTGTGCCATAAAAATATATATTATGTATGTACATACGTATAAATGTAGGTCCATACAGATACCTGTAGGTCTATCTGTTGTTGTTGTTGTGTGCAGTTGAGTCCATTCCAACTCATAGCGGCCCTACAGGACAGAGTAGAACTGCCCCATGGGGTTTCCGAGGCTGTAAACCTTTACGGAAGCAGACTGCCACATCTTCCTCCCACAGAGCGGCTGGCGGGTTCGGATTGCCAACCTTTCGGTTAGCCGCCGACCACACAACCACTGTGCCACCAGGGCTCTAATCTAGACCCTAAACCAAACAAAAAACCAAACCCATCGCTGTTGAGTTGATTCTGACTCATAGCAACCCTACAGAATCTAGCCCCTAGGATTCAGTAAATATCAGACTAGTACGTGTTTATGAGTTCATCTAGTATCTATACTGTATTGGCAATGAGGGGGTAGAAAGGCAGAGAAGAAGTAATGTTTACTGAGTGCCTGGGTGCCAGACACTGGGTCTGGCACTGAGCCACTGCAGGTTCCTCTACCCAGGTAGATATCATGTGCGCTAGCTGCCTGGTCCCAATGAGCACTTCCGTGTGAAGTGGACCAATCCCCTCTGCTCACGCATGCCCACCTTGAACTGAATCACTTTCCCCACGTTCCTGAACTCGGGGAGCACATCGTCATAGAACTCTAGGAACTGCTGGTAGGTTTCCTCTTCACTGTACTCCAGGCTTGCGTCAGGGTCATAGTCATCCATTCTGCACTGCTCCATTCCAAACGTTGTGAACATGCTTTTTATAAGAAGGGTAGGGCTCGACGTTGGGAAACTATGTTTACGCGAACACCTGCATACAAATGAAAACAAAAATTAAAAAAACCTCAAGTTCAGTAAATAGTTAAAAATAAAACCTAAAAATCTTGCTTGAAACTTTGAGATAAAGACTCAAGTAATTTACCCGTTTTGACACAACTGTAAGAAAATAAACCACACTCAGACGTCGAATTTCAATGCTTAAGAAAACTGCTTTAAGATTGACCAATATATTGGCTCTCATTAAAATGCAAAGTTAGAAATTATTTCCAAGTTTACATGTCATTCAGCTGTCTCTTAATGACACTCAGGAAGACTTATACATGTTGAACCTATAGGGAAAAAGGTTCGTTGGCCTGGTAGGCTGTGGTGACAAGCACAAAGATACCACGTGGGACTCTTAGTGGGAAGATGAGGACAATACAATCATGCTTCTATACAATATTTAATTAACTCAAATGCGAACGGGATAATCGAAGAATTTCCAGTTAATGGAATATTTTCTTTTAATTCATATATGTATAGCATTTTATAGTTTTCACGGCATTTTTACATTTTTTCCTCCGATCCTTGCCATCCTTTAGGACAGCCAGGGCTAGTATTCGCCCCACTTTACAAAAAAGGATGCTACAGTCTAGAGAAGCACATTTGCCCAAAGTCACCTGGCTGGTAACGGATGGATCCAAGAGATCCGAGCTAACTGGCCAGTACCTGTTCATTATGTAGTATAATCAACATCATTTCATTTTTATTAATGAATGAGGCTAATCATCATGAACAATAATCTTCTTTCCATAGTTTAAACTGGGCCAAAGCTGAGCTGACCAGGCTGAACCTGAGTAATTAAAAGTTCTCTATATGAGCTTATTTTCTCATTTACTTCCTTCTCTTAAAATGACAGCAACAACAACCAAAAAATATGTGTGTGGCTACATATGCAGGTATGTATGTATATATGTGTGCATGTATAGGTACATCTATATGCATGTGTACATACATGTATGGGAGAACATGCATATATATTCATATATATAGAAGGCAGTTACGGATACTTCTTAAACATAACCAAATACCTTGCAGGAATGGTTTACCGTGTTTGAAGGCTTAGGACCATAGTCTCATGGGACAACTCAGTTAATTAGCATATTATAGTTCAAAAATGTATGTTCTACATCCCAATGTGGTGAGTAGTGTCCGGGGTCTTAAAAGCTTGTGAGTGGCCATCAAAGATACAACTGCTGGTCTCTGCTCCTCTGAAGCAAAAGAGAAAGAAGGAAACCAAAGACTCAGAGAAGAAACTAGCCTACACGAACCATGGCCTCATCTACCCTGAGACCAGCAGAACTAGATGGTGCCCGGCTACCACTCCTGACTGTTCTGATCAGGGCCGCAATAGATGGATCCTGATAGAATGGGAGAAAAATGTAGAACAGAACCTGAATTCTTAAAAACTCCAGACTTACTGGACTGATTAAGACTAGAGGACCCCGAGACTATCACCCAGAGATGATACCCTTTAGACTTTGAACCAAAACTACTCCCAGAGGTCACCTTGCAGCTAAATAACAGATTGGCTCATGAAATAAACAATATCATTCGTGAGTACTACGTTCCTTTTAAAAATCATCTATATGAGACCAAACGGTCAACATTTATTGTAAAGCAAAGAGGAGAAGGTAAGGGGAGGGGGTGTCAGGGAAACTAGATTACTAGAAATGGAATATTGACACATTGTGAAAAATGTAACCGATGTCACTGAACAACTTGCATAGAAATTGTTAAATGGCAACCTAATTTGCTGTGTAAACTTTGACCGAAAACACAATAAAACATTAAACAAATAAATAAAATGAGAAAAAAATTTAGTTCAAGGTTCCAATTAATCAAAATTTCCTGGTTAGGATTCCTGTTAAAAAAGGTAAGACAAAATTTTTAGGAAAAAAAAAAAATCCACAGAACTTTGGAAGAAAAAAAAGTGGAAGAAACATAGGGCAAGTGCTGGGAAAAACAACAGCCCTGAAATGACTAAATGTTGAGCTAGTACGCATGCTCCATGTCTGTAGCACACATTTAGGCACCGACTGAGATCCTGCATCCACAAGGCCCAGCACACACCAGGCCTGGTGCAGAAATGTTCAATGTTCATTAATGGGAAATGTTCTCTCTTCCAAATGACCTCCTAGATTATTCAATTAGAGACCTTGTTATAAAAGCCATCTTTCCATACGTAGCTACCCACAGAAGAAAGGAGGAGTCACCCTGACTGGCAGTGTTAGCAGTGAAGAATTTTACAAGTATGGAAGCACACACAGAATTAAAAAAGGAACCAATTTAACGAGGTTAAAACTCTGTTCCCGGGATGTTATATCTGAATGAACTTGGCCCTAGTTCCCAGGTTGTCAAATATGTACTTATCAGTTTTGGAACACAGCCAAAGTCCCTATCTAGGGAAATCCCCACTTGGCCTGGAGATAGATAGTCCATACGATCTAAATGTATTCAAAAGGCCAGGCCTACAGTTCCTACTGAATAGTTAGCTAAGAGAAGTTCTACTTGGGAAAGCAGTTTAAAACAGTGGTACCAAACCTGTGTGGTTATCAGAATTACCTGGGAAGAAGTCACACTTCTCAGGTCCCGCTCCAGACCTACTGATCAGACCTTAAGGAGTGGGGGCCTGGAAACCCATATTTTCAAAGTAACTCATCTCTGGTCCTGACGTCGGCCATGTTTGGAAACCACCGGTTTAGGACATGCTATTTACCCATTACTCGGACACCTGAATCAGGTCAGAAAACCAAAAAAAAAAAACCAAACCTGTTGCTGTCGAGTCGATTCTGACTCATAGCGACCCTACACGACAGAGCAGAACTGCCCCATAGAGTTTCTAAGGAGCACCTGGTGGATCTGAACTGCTGACCTTTTGGTTAGCAGTCATAACTCTTAACCACTACGCCACCAGGGTTTCCGAGTCAGGTCAGAGTGCCAGAAAAACAGAGTTGGACATGACCTTAGCCCAAGGACGGTCAATCAATGGTGTGACTATCCAAATGCCCCTCGGGTACAGCTAATTGACGACTCTTCTTTGTCTCCTCTCAAGGGAGCACTCCAGGAAACCACTACCTACTGATTGGAGAGAATATTCAAGATGAAGCCTATCTGTTGGCCCCAGTTTTGTCCCTCATAGAATCACCAAGTTCCATACTGAAGTTAGGCTTCAATCATCTATTGAAGGTCTCTAAGAAACAGTCTTATGAAAATTATGTATGCAACGGTTATAAAACATCTATCAAAGTTGTTGTCCACATTCCTATTCAATGTCTTAATACACTATTTCATGGGAGAAACATTTATGATATGGTGCCAGGAAAAACCTTTGTCTTTCCATAGATAACATTCATTCTTCCTTTTTGGTAAAAACTATAGAGCTTATTATCTATCTGAGATTCATTCAAAACCAGAGTCAAATGTATTCACAATAACCCACTTTCTCCTCCTCTCCTTGCTTTTATTTAACTTAGTACAGTAGATTATGAGCCTTCTTTAAATTCCCTCTGAAGTAGTGAAATATAAATAATCAGACAAATAAGGTTTACCTTTCATCAAGGATTATGTTAAGAGAAAAAACAAAACAAATAAAAAAAAAAAAATAGAACTCCCCTCAAATTGGTGTCCAGAAAAGACACCAATTCGAGAAAGATTCTAGAATTGAACTCTGTTCTAATTATAAAAACAAACAAGCAAAGAAATGCTTAGATTATAGAAGTTTCTCTGATGATCTGACACACAGTAATGGGCAAGAACAGCTGTGTGAGCTGGAGCAAGTCACTGAGGCTCTCTGTAAAAGAGGAATAGTATATTTGTCTGAAGGGATGGTGCGGGATTTCCTAACTGCTAACAGTCACAGAATTTTAACTCCCAATCACTTGAACGATGAAAATACTCAAGTCACTCTCATACTTTTTTGAGATTGTTTTCATGCTGAAATTGCATATGCCTATGAAAATAGTAAGAAATGTTCACACACTAACTTGACCATGTCGATATTTACTTGAAATGACTCTCAGGGATGGGTTTTGGGAGTCTGACAGTTCATTCCCCTTTCTGTAATTAAGTACCTGTGAACTGACTGTCTGAAACTGTTTAGGACACCTCTCCTTCTCTTACTTATACCCAAAAGAAGGAGAAGCCACAGCCTTTGAACTCAAGGAAATGTTAGGCATACATCATAAATGAGGAATCATGCAGCTGGAAAACCTTCAACACAATTTGGCTCAACTACCTACGCAAACTGAAACTCATGAGTCTCAGCTGTCTTTCAAAGGCAATTCACTGCACATTTTTTTCTCTGGTGAAGGGTGTTTTACATCAGTTATTACTAATTTTTGATGAGATTAACCATACATATGAGAAACCATTCAAAAGGCAGAAAAGGGATACGAATACAGTCTGTTTTTGGTTCTCAGTTCCTCAAGAGGAAGCTTTCACTATTAACTACAGTCCTGTGAATTCTTTAATATTCTCGCTATATACAATCCCAGTTATAAAATATAAAAGGAGTTACATATCCTACGTTTGTGACTCTCAATCCTGGAAGCACATTAGAAACACCTGGAGACATGTCAAAAATCAGGATGTCCATGTCACACACATTCTGATTTATTCAATTTGAGGTGAGGTTGGGACATAATTTTTTAAAGCTTTCTAGATGATTTTAAAGTGCATTCAGGGTTGAAAACCATTGTTTTCAAAAAATGTAAAAAGTTATGAGGGCTTAAATTACAAAAGAAAAAGAGAAGTCTCATATTTTCAGAAGGGGAAAAACAAACTCATGGCATGGATAATTTCATGAATAAAATAAACATGAGACAACATACAGTTTCTCATTAAATACATATGAATTTGTCTATTCATATCCCTTTTTAGGATTAACAGGACATTAAGATTACAATCAGATCGCCTCTTCTGTAAAATACTTAGGAATAATTAGAGTTTGCTTCAGATGGATTCATTCACCATTATGGATTATTTCTCTGCTTTGAGTTGTTCGTTCATAAATGAGCCAAATTATAAAAATCACAAGTACCTGGTATACAGTAGGTGTTCAAATATTTGCTAAATGAATAAAGAGATTGTCATGGATTGAACTGTGTTCCCAAAAAATGTCTGTCAACTTGGCTGGGTCATGATTCCCAGTATTGTATATTGTGTACCATTTTGTAATCTGATGTGATTTCCTTATGTGTTGTAAACTCTTATCACTATGATGAAATAAGATGGATTAGCGGCAGTTATATTGATGAGGTCTACAAGATTAGGTAGTGTCTTAAGCCAATCTCTTTTGAGATATAAAACAGAGAAGCAAGCAGAGACACACGGGGACCTCATACCACCAAGAAAGCAGTGCCGGGAGCAGAGCGCGTCCTTTGGACCTGAGGTTCCTGTGCAGAGAAGCTCCCAGACCAAGAGAAGATTGATGATAAGGACCTTCCTCCAGAGCCAACAGAGAAAGCCTTCCCCTGGAGCTGATGCCCTGAATTTAGACTTGTAGCCTACTGGACTGTGAGAGAATAAGTTTATCTTTGTTAAAGCCATCCACTTGTGGTATTTCTGTTACAGCAGCACTAGATGACTAAGACAGAGATCAACATTTAGTTTTCCATATAAACGTCTTGTTTCAAGAACATTGATCCAAAAGAGGCAGGGGACAAGAAGAGTGTCTCAGAGAAGAATAACAACCACTTCTGATAAGACTGATAGGATTTTTAATCCCCATTTTACAGATGAGGGAACTAAGGCATAGCGAGCTTAAGTAACTTGCCCAAAGTGACAGCTGTTAAAGTCAGTTTTTGAACCCAGGGGTCAGTTTCTGAATCTGAGCATGTTGTTGTTGGGTGCCTGGAGTTGATTCCGACTCACAGTAACCACATGTGACAGAGCAGAACTGCTCCATAGGGTTTTCTTAGCTATAATCTTTATGGGAGCAGATCGTCAGGTCTTTTCCTCTGCAGAGCCACCGAGTGGGTCTGAACCACCAATCTTCAGGTAAGCAGCCGAGCACTCAGCCATTGCACCACCAGGTCTGAGCACAGTGACTTAAAATGGTGAATCAAAATACTTTTCCCCTACCCACTTTGAGCCTGGCCTTCACAGATATCCCTTGAAGCATATCAGATTTTTTAAAGCCTGTTTTGTGAAAGTGTTTGCCATTCAAAAAATAAAGCCAGGCTGCTCCAGTTTCTGGCAATAGCAGAAATAAATGATTTCCCCATCCAAGTTTTCAACGTGGACTAGTGCAAGAGAGGCACCCGTCAGAGAACTAGGCAGAGCCCACCCAGGGAACAGGTAGGAGAAGCTGAGGAGGACCAACTGCAGAACTACAGGAGTGGTAAGAGTGCAGCAGACACTGGATGATGGACATTACAGACAGAAGCCAGTATGTCTCTCAAAAAAGAGAGCTCAAAACCCTCGATTTCTTGATTCACTTAATTCTGAAGTGATAAAGCAAAATTACTTACCTATCTCCAAATCTGCACGCTCCTGTTTTACTGTAGAATGGACAAAAAGCGCGATCTTTCTCCATTATTCTTACATCTAAGGGTGGTTCTGGGTTTTGCCATGTGGTACCATTTTCCAACTGTTAAAAATAACCATGACTTTACTGGCGGTGTAAAAATCCATGAAAAAAAAGTAAATGTCTAAAAATGTAGTCAAATATTCATGTCAAAAATAAAAATGGATTCATTTAAGAATGTACACATTTGAGTTGTAACATGCAATCAAGACTGTACAAACAACTGTTCTGACACATTTCCCGTGGTTAGGCATCACTACTGCTACCAGGTTTCCCTTCTGTCCATCCATTCTGAAAGGATAGGGCTTATTAGGCAAACACCACCGAAAGAACTGTAAGTCACTCTGAATCCAGTTAAACAGCCACTGGGGGGGTGACAGCATGTGATGCTGCTTACAAACACTTTAAGGGCTACAGGCGAATACAGTCCACAGGGGTGATTCAATAACATTTGTTTTTGTTCATCAATAAACTTTTGTTCTTGTTGTATAAACAGCAGAGCCACAAAAGTGATTACAGATATCCACAAGTCATCTAAACATTCTAGCCCAAAACTAGTATTACTGGAAGTACTGTTTGTAAAGAAACGTGAATGGGTCTCAAATTCTCACTGAAAGGTTTTGGACATACCTCGTTTTCAGCCTGATTCAGCATCTTCTGCACAGCTTCCTACAAATGGTGCAAACATAGGACTAATGAAAACCTGGATGTCACGTAAGTCACAGCTGGTTTCTCTGGTTAAGAATCTCATGTGTAACAACTTAAAAACAAAACCACACATACAAAAGTCCCCAAATTCTCATTTGCTTTCTACAGCACAGATCTGCTGAAAAGTTTTCAAAAGATACATAGCTGAGAAGTTTTATTTAAGTAGATAATGTAATAGACCACATTGTAAAATATTTAAAGTATATTCCTAGAATGATTCCAGTAAAAGCAGTATTTAGTATATTTGAGCATATATACCTCTCTCTAGTTTTTACGATGAGGTATTAGTGAATATTATAAACCACAATGCTAGATGAAGCTAAAATATAACATGGAGAGTAGTAATTATGATTTGTGAGAAATTTCTAACTTTTCGAGAAGCCAAAGGAAGTCCTGCAGTATGACAGTAAATTTGTGGCTAATTGGCATTTAAATAAGTTTTAAGTTATGTTCAACAGATTTCTCTTCCCTAGCCCCTTAAAGCATTACCTAAAAGTCTCATATATGTAGCTGCTGACTTGCTAACTCTCCCTGGTCACATAAGAGTCCTCTTAACGAGCTCAAAACAGAACTTTTGTTCTCTCCTACCCCCTCCCACCTAACCGCCCCATCTCAGTAAATGCTGCTGCTATTTACTTGCTTGTTCAAACTAAAAACCTAAGAGTTTGACTTCAGTTCTCCTTCCTTCCCCACATTCAACTGACCAGCTGGAGTCCTGCCAACTCTGTCTACACCTACCCCAAATCTGTGTACCTAGCATTATTAAGCACTCTGCTAATCCAAATCACCATCATTTCCTATCTGGAAGAGCAGCTTTCTAACTGCTCACTGTATTTCCACTCTTGCCTCCTTATTCACCGCTCCCCACGCCGTATTCTTTATAAAGAAGTTAAAAGGTTGTGCTAAAGGTAAATATATAAATCAGATGAGATCATTCTCTGCTTAAACCCTTCAATGGCTTCCTTCCACTTAGCATACCATCCAAACTCCTCACCAAGGCCCAGAAGGCCTTTACAGAGTCTGACCTGCCCACCGACCTCATTCCCCCTTGGGTTTCAGGCACCCTGGCCTTCTTCTAGCTCCACACTGCAGGCCTCTGCCCTGTGCAGGGAAGCCCTCTTCCTGAGATCTCTGCACTCAGTTGTCAACTCACACACCACTCCTAAATCTCCCTTGCCTATGTAATCTAAAGGAAGACTTCCCTGCCCCCACCACTACCATGCCACCCTCTGCTTTATTTCTATATAGCATTTAGCACTGCTGGAAATAGCAGTTTGCTTACTTATCATCTGGCTCTCCCACCTAGAAAACTAACTCAGCAAGAGCAGGGACTGTGTCTTTCTCACTGCTCTACCTCCATCCACTAGAAAAGTGACAAACACAGATCCTATATCCTTTATACGCTTAGAATCTATTTCATTTTACCCATTTCTCCTTAGTGGTTCAGGGCTCAGCTGCTAACCAAAAGGTGGGCAGTTCAAATCCACTGGAAACCCTATGGGGCAGTTCTACTTTGTCCTATAGGGTCGCTATGAGTCGGGATCGACTCGAGGGCAACGGGTTTTAGGTCTCAATAGACTTACTTTGAAATCAAAGCATTTAAAAGCCTTAGCTTTCACCTGATCCTGGAAAGACCTCAACTGAAGAACATTCTGCTGTTAAAATGGGAATCGATTCCTGTCTATAGAAAGGACAAGCTCCAAACAACTTTCTCCCCCCTAAAACCAGTGTGAACTGGCCTCAGCTGGAAAGCCATCCTCAGATGAGAGTATCTAACATTTGCATTGGAAGTAGCTGATGGCCTGAGACACAAAAAACAAAGGTCACGGAGGCTGCCTCCAACTCCTCATGACTAAGACATAACCAAATGCATTTCTCCCCATTGTAAGACGGTCACCCATTGCCATTGAGTCAATTCCGACTCATAGCAACCCTATAGGACAGCGTAGAACTGCCCCATAGGATTTCCAAGGCTGTAATCTTTATGGGAGCAGACTAACACATCTTTCTCCCACAGAGCAGCTGATGGGTTCTAGCTGCCGGCCCTTCGGTTCGCAGCCGTGCGCTTTAACCACTGCGCCACCAGGGCTCCCAATTTTACGTTAATCTGACTCAGCAATATTACAGAAAAGATACATCCTGACAAGTCAGTCAAAGAAAGATGAGCTGTGATATCTTTGAAATAAATACACTGCTAAGGAACAGCAGCAGAACATACCAAATGAATTTTTAAAAAAGAATTCTGGACGTTATAGAATATCTATATATATACACCTTACAAATTTTTATAAATGAGCAATTGTATATTAACTGCAATTGCCTTTAGTAGTCCACGTTGGAAAGACAAGATTTAATAACAAAAATAGTGTTTGCTCAGTCTTTGATATTTGAATTCCTAATTTCTCTAAATAAAAAAATTCTTGCTAACAAGTCATAAGTAGTTAAGTCTCTCATGAATTAAATGAATGTGGCAACCATACAAAATATTATTCTCTGAATAAGTCAATATATATATAACAGGACCTCAGAATAACACCACTTGTTATAGAGCGGTACACAGTGTAAAGCAGGGCCAGCCACTTGTTTTTGTAGATAAAGTTTTATTGGAACACAGCCACACCCTTTCTTTTACATATTGTCTATGGTTGCTTTCGTGCTACAACGGCAGAGTATTTGCAACAAAAACTGTACGGACCACAAAGCCTAAAACATTTACTATCTGGGCCTTTAGAGAAAAAGCTTACCAACCCCTGGTAGAAAGGGTACGCTGGGTAAGTTGAAGAAAAATCTTAATTTCAGGTAGTCTTATCTGTCATTGCAGGACCCAAAGAAGAACATCAAAAGGAAACTCTAGTGCATGTCAATACTAAAAATATGACTCTTTCTAAATGAACAAACAAAGCAACAACAAAAAGCAAGGAACAAACACAAAACCCCAAACCCTCACATGCCTACAGCCTACTCTTCCAACCCATCACAAGCCACATCTGTACACTAAGAGGATACGCAGTGAGTTTATCCTCCTATGACAGGAATCACCTCTCTTTCTCTCTTCTCCTGTAGTTTCTGCTCCTCCTCTTCTCTCTCCTTTCTCTGTTGTTCTTCCCATTCTGCTTTTAATTTTCTCTTTAAAGGAAATAAAGGAGAAAGAAAGGTAGTTTTTTTCAGATTCCCTTTTTAAAAACATTTAACATACGGGGCAATTAAATGAAAAAAAAAAAAAAACACATTGGTAAACACATTATCAGTTTTTTAAGTTCAAGATATGTAACTTTTTTAATTTTTAAAATTTTATTGTGGTGAAATATACACAACAAAACATTTCAACCATTTTTATGTGTAAAATTCAGTGACATTAACCACATTCACCATGTTTTGCAACAACCATCACTATCTGTTTCCAAGCGTTTTCATTACCCTTAACAAAAACTCTGTACCTCTTAAGCAACAGCCCCCCCGCCAAATTTCCACATCCTACAAGCCCCAGGTAACTACTAATGAACTTTGGTCTCTATACATTTGCCTATTCTGTATATATCATATAGGTGAAATCATACAATATTTGTCCTTTTGTGACTTATTTCAGTCAGCATAATGTTTTCATGTTGCAGCATGTATTAGGACTTCATTTCTCTTTATGGCTGAGAAATATTTCATTGTATGTAAGTAACACATTTTATTTATCCATTCATCTGTTGACGGGCATTTAGGCTGTTTCCACCTTTTGGCTATTGTGAATAGTGCTGCAATGAACACTGGTGTACACGTATCTGTTTGCATTCCTGCCTTTTATACCTAGTGTTGAAGAGGAAAGTTAAGAAACAGACATCTTACTTTGATTTTAAGGTTTTTCTCATTCACAAAACAAAAAGCCTGTCAGAAACTGCTCTACAGCAATGTAAATTTGTCTTATCCAGCTAGAAAAGGATAGTTAACAAACCATTACCTCCTAATTTAAATCTCAAAAAGTCTATTGGCTGCAGGTGTGTAAAAAACCAAAACCTAGCACCTGGTGGATTCAAACTGCCGACCTTTTGGTTAGCAGAGCTAGCTGTTAACCACTACACCACCAGGATTTCTGCAGGTGGGTGGAGGGTCAAATTATTAGCAGCCAGGCCAGAAGTAACCTGACATCAGTGGATCTCAGCAAAAAGGGGAAGGCAGGGTTCAGTCAATCACGTTAAGATTAGCCCTCCTCTTCTCTTTATAAGCGCCATTGTACCTAGCTCCTTTGAGCCATTTGCTTTTTCTGGAATCAAAATGGCCTCCTGTATGCATATGGAGCCCTGATGACACAGTGGTTAAGAGCTACAGCTGCTAACCAAAAGGTGGGCAGTTCAAATCCACCAGCTGCTCCTTGGAAACTCTATGGGGCAGTTCTACTCTGTCCTATAGGGTCACTATGAGTTGGAATCGACTCAACAGCAACAAGGTTTTCTTTTTTTTTAATACGCATACAGAATAACTGCTCAGAATAAACTTTATGTTCAAATTTCGGTGAGCTTTGATTATTTTTAACACTAGGAGTGGAACTGCTGGGTCATAAGACAGTTCTATGTTTAACGTTTTAAGTAACTGCAAAACTGTTTTCCATAGCGAATGCACTATTTTACAATCCTACCAGAAGTGGATGAGGGTTCCAATTTCTCCACGTCCTCTCTAACGTTTGTTTTCTGATAATAGATACCCTAACAGGAGTGTCTCATGATGAGTTTGATTTGCACTTCCCTAATGACAGTTGATCTGAAGCCTGGCAGTGCAGTGGTTAAGCGTTTGACTGCTAACCAAAAGGTCGGCAGTTCGAATCCACCAGCCGCTCCTTGGAAACTCTATGGGGCAGTTCTACTCTGTCCTATAGGGTCGCTATGA